TCATCTCTTCACTTCTCTCTATTTACACTTTAACAAATCAAGAAGATGCAAATGCTAAGAAGCTTTAGCACGAGGACAAGAAGCCGTCGTGGAGGCTACGAGCGAGTAAGTGATGATTCAACATTCAGTTTACTCGGAGCAAAGTTAAGAAGATCAACAAGTGTTCCTTATTACGCACCATCTATAAAGCTTGGTACTGGTGGTGTTCCAACCATTCTTGAAGAGCTTCCTCGTCAGAAATCAAAGAAAGTTAAACCAACAAGCAAATTTAGCCACCCTCTCTTTAACTTTTTATATGGAAAGAAGAAGAAGTCGAAGACGACGACGACTAAACCGGAGTTTTCGAGGTATCTTGAGTATTTGAAAGAAGGTGGTATGTGGGATGCAAGATCTAATGCGCCTGTTATTTATTACAAGTAGTTGATGATGAATATTTTGTTAAGGAAAAAAAAATAAGAAGAAAAGAGATGTGAGGGTGAAATTTTAAGTTTTTGTTTACAACTCAAGTGAATTAATTGTAATATGATCTTTTGTATATTATAATGATCAATTCATTAATTTGCTTATAAAAATATATAAGTGTTGTTGGTATGTTTTCGAGCATATATTTTGATTTGTAAAATGATTGAAAATTTCTAAAGACAAAATGTAAATGTCTTTTTTAGAGTTCAACTCTCATCCGGAACAACTTCATTGTGATTCGAAATGTTTGCAATAATATAATGGATGGATTTGGTCAAAAACCAAACTAGGATTTTTTTTTAGTTAGCAATCTAATCTAACTAAAAATGCATTATGTGGAGAGATATCATAACCAAAAATGCATTGGTCAGTTATTGAGTTAGGATTGTGTTGATGAAAAAAATAAATTAAGCTGTTGAAAAATTGGGCCTATACAAAGCCTTCTATAAGTTTATGGTGCACTTAAGGGCCCATGATTTTTTACCCTTACGGAATCATATACTGTCGCGAAAATTTTCGTATGCGCACACGAAATCCTGCGCTGAATCTGCTCCTTTGGATATTCCCCCAAGAAGATCTGTTGAGCTTTAGGTAACATTTCATTCCTATGTGTCGGATCTGTTGTAATCATAACCTAACTATTCTTCTGATTTGAAAATTGGACTGTAGGGTTTGCTCAAAGTTGATTTTTTTTTCATACATTTTTAACACCACTTTAAATTGGGTTACAAAGATTTTTGATGCTTCTTCAGTCAAAACTGTTGTTTTTCGTGTTACATTTATCTATCAAGTTCTTGGAGTTTAGGTAGATTTTAAAAGATTTAAACTTTAAACAGAATAGGGATAGTGAGATGTAAAATATTACAAAAATTCTTATGTTAATTCAAGAATCTGTCTAATCAAATCTAAAATG